AGTACGAATAGTTAGTAATATATATATATATATATATATATATATATATATACTCGTTCAAATTATTAGCTATCAATCGGAAATCTTGGCCGATTTTCGAAAAACGGGAAAAAGAATCGCTCCAATCAATCGTGAAACAATGTAGATAAGCTCTCTACATATTTATCAATCACGATTGATCTGTAAAATATATCTCCAAAAATTGTATTATAATTTTTAAATCGTTTAAGGCGAATTCTCAAATTTATATATATATATTTATATGCTAAGATCGGGTATAAATATTTCTTTGAAAAAGGAGAAACCTTTGAAATTATGCTTCATTAGAAGAAGAGAATTATCTTAAAATCTAGTAAGAAATTTTCTCTCTCTTTTCTCTCTCTCTTGTCAATATTAAAAAATGAAAAAGAAATTTGTTTTGTACAAAGGTATTTACCACTTCGTGTAGACCACGTTAGTTATAAATCCTCTTCGTAGTTTTCCATCGAACGTGAAAATTGAATTAAATTAAATTAATTAAAGTGAGGAGCAATAATGGCACGAGCTTAATGACTTATCGACAAGCTTCCACTCGAATTAATTATGGATCTGTTCAAATTTCTACGATCAGGATGTAATATATGGAAGGGCGCGCCTGTGTATGTATGTATGTATGTATGTATGTATGTATGTAAATATAAGCGAGTTTTGTCTGGTGAACACTTTCGTTCGCGACACCGTGCCACGTTATACTTTCTCCTTTCCTCCCCCCCAATTTCCATGAATTAATTCTGTAAAATTATACGACGTATGATAATTTACACATAGTGCATATGTATATTTAAATGGTGTCTCCTCGTATTTAATTTTACGAAAGCATTTCCACGGAATTGTAACGATTTTTTACGCGTGCGTTTTTGCATGTAAACACTGGAATAAATTGTCGAAAGATAATGTTAACACGTTGAGTTTCATTGGAAATTGTGCAACAGGACACGATCTTTCGCGAATTATGGATTATCCTCCCTTTGGTGGAATGGACTGGAATGAAGTGAAAAAAAATTAAAGTTGATTTTGAAGGAATGGAGGAAAATTAGAAAAAAAATTGGGACGGAAAGGAAAAATGGAGAAAATCATTTTGACAACGACGAAAACTTATGCATACATCTCTCATCGATGGATCATCGTTCGAGAAAACGTATTTCACCGCAAATGACATTCGTGGTTTCATTTTCTCTGTGACATCAGCCGTGAAGTCACGATTCCTATATTTTCGTCACGTCACTATATTGTTTGTGAATATCGAAACGAGGCGTGCTTTTTCACGATGAATGATGGATGGAATCGAGTTGTCCATTTAATTTCCACAAGAATATTAACTCGAATAATAATGCATATATCTGATATATATTCTGAAATTATCCAGATTATATTATTCAAATTCGATTTGATAAAGTAGACGATTTGAAGTACATACTTAAACGGGAATTAATTAGTTTTCAATTTATCGAGCATATCATTATAAAGTCTTGCAGCGTTGCGCTACCCAGCATAAGTTTGATCAAAGCCACGTGGCAGTAATTCGATTTCTCTTCTTTCTTCACTTTCGTCTTCTTGAGGTCGATTTGAAAGTGAACACCGAATTCCACCTGAAACGCGAGACAAATTTTCGAAGCAATGTAATCGTCGATTAAAAAGAATTTTTGGATGTTGAAAAAAAAAAAAGATAGAAATATTTTCAGAATAAACATTGTACAATTGCGTTTCTAGAATTGTGGTTTTAAATAAGAAAAATTGGACAAATAATTTTGCGTGAAAATATTGTAAAATCCTATCGGATTGAATCGAAATCCTCGGCTCAAATTTATCCTCGATATTCTGAAGTAAGACATTTCCAATTGAAAACGCGTAAGATTTCTCAAATATACCTTCTTTTTTTCTGGAACCAATAACTGCCTGTTCTCGTCGAGATTGAAAAAAGAAAATCTGGTTTGATCCTCGGATCGTTTAAGATTACCACCATATATCGCCGTATACTCGTTCGGCGAAAGCTTGTCGTCGAAATCCACCCTTCCCTCCATTTTTTTGCTGCCTTTTCCGATGCTTTTCTCGGTTTTTTCGTTGTGTTTCTTCTCCTCTTTGTTTTTTTTCTTATTCGTTTGTTTTCGCGAAAACTTTGAATTTTCCAAGCTCTGAGGAATCTGCCCCTCTAACACGTCGATAAAGAAAAGTTGGAAGACCAACGTACACGATCCCGTGTTCTGTATCTGAAATATTTAAAAAAACAATCGTCTCAAGTCTTTACAATCTTTTCAAATCTTTAATTTATTAGAGAGATTAAAAGAGTGCTCGCTTTTTCACAAAACGCCGAAATTTTCATTTCTTTTTTTTTTTTTATTTTGATTTATCGCACACGACGAGAATAAATTGCGCTCGACGTGGATTGAAAGCGATCGCTTGCGAGGAGGATTAAAATCCAGTTGGTTGGAATATTTAGATTCCCATGGTGAATAATTCAATCGAATCGCGAGAGATTAGAGAAAAATAATTTTTTCCCGCTCGAATAAATGTATAAAGTTTGAACGAAAAATTTTTAAAGCTTGGTTGTAAAAAAGAAAAAAAAAAAAACTCGTAAGTGGAGGAGAAAAATATGAAGGAAAAGATAGAAATATTCGTTCGAAATTTAGGAGAGATGAATAGAGATGGAAAATTTTGAACACCTTGTTGATCACCTTGATATAACTTGGCGCATAAGTGTAGTTAGGTGATGATGAAATCCGAGAAACTAATCATCTCGAAATGTCTGCGGTTTTGTAATAATAGGGTCGAGTGGAAATCTGTGCCATGCATATTAACAAGATATGTTCGGATTCTAGATGGACGTCTTGAAAGGAAATTGCACGAGATCCGACGAACGAGAACGAGAAGATATTTGGCATCTCATTAAGAGACTATCTAACTTAGTAAATTATACTATATCAAGTTTAATATACCTGATGCGATTCTCAATGATTACGAATCTCTTACAAAGGGATTTCCTGGCCGAAAATTTGTCCGAATTTTCAAGACTTTTTTCCTTTGATCGCGATTCATATCGTTCGCCATCCGTGTATAAAATTTTATTCCCGATTCAATGAAGAATTTTTTCTTTTTTTTCTTTTCGAGACTCGGTGTCCCCCACATTTTTATATTCCATTTAATTCTCACCTCTCTCGGTTTTCAACGTCCTTTGAGAGCGTTCCTTGAGCTTGGTTTAGTGAAGTTAAGTGAACAACACGCAAGTCGTGCAACCGCAGCAGGAAATTGTTTTCCCGGAATTTGAAGCTAGTCGAGGACGTTGCTCGACTTGATTCAAAAGGATCCCGAGATGCTGAACATTAATGAGTTCGATTTGTCGAAAACACGATGACTCGAGTTTCAAGGATGAACGATTAAACTCGGGTTGAATTGATTAGGAAGGTGGGATTAAAGGGATGAAACTTGGGGAGTAATTAACGAGCTCGTTGAACCAAGGATTTTGTTTTTGTTTTCGATGTTAAAAGTAATAAAGAGATTTAAAAAATCGATCATTTTTGACTGTTTTCATGTTCAACTCGATTTTATTTTTACATTCACAAATAATTGAAAAGACGAATTATTTTTGATATTATTTCGAAGTAAATATAGAGGATTAAAAAAGAAAATAGGAATTTTCTGAACTTTTATGATACAGTAATGACGATGAAATTATATTTTTCGTGATCTTTTGATCATGCTTGATTCATTGGACATTGTCGACACAGATCTGAATAAAGTTATCGATATTTGTTTTTTTTTTTTTGGAATTTGAATCACGTTCAAATTCGAAAATTCTCAATGCTCGCCTCGAATTTGTTTGATTCGAAATATTCGAACATTTCTTTGAACAGACAATGATTTTTCATTAAGAGAACAATATTGTGAATTTATACAGAAAATTAGATTTGAATCGATGATATTTTTGTGAAAATTGATATACGACGTATGAAAAATAGATCAAACTATTTTCAAAAAGATTCATCCTTTTCTGCTTTTTTTTCTCGTACATCATCCGGTTTACTGTGGATAAATTGAAAAAGTGTTTCGCGTTGTTGACACTGTCGTCGATTAATTTTTTGAACAGATTGAATAAATTTGCAAATATTGAATGTTATTGAAAGATTATTGGAAAAATAATCGTTGGAAGTAAAGTGAAATTTCATTGTTTGGGACGATGCATGGTGATCGATAACAAGACAGGATGAAACATAATTGATCGCAATTAATTCTTCGCATCAGCGCAAGTAATTAGTTGTTCCTCTCGCGTATCGCTTCTTCAATTAATTTTGATACAACATGTTTGTATGTTTTCACGATCTAATTATAATTACGATTTCACTATCGGTATTAAACTCCTTTATCTAGTTATTTATGCCTGATGAATTAAATTGTCCGGCTAATTACTTCTAATTCTCGGTATTTGAGCACGTAAACTCGTGTCGAGTTTTGGATAAATCGCTTTTGTCGGTAATGAAAACTCGATTAACATCGGATAATACTCAGCACAAAGTTATTTATCATTTTAAATTGAAACGTTAACGAGGAAGATCGAAAAATTTTTAAACAAAAAAAAATTTGATGTCGAAAAATTTTTTGCCTATTTGATTTAATTTCTTTGTTTATTTTTAAAAATTTTTGAAATTTCCAGATAAACGATAGATGATTTAGAAATTATTTTATCGATTGAAGATATATATGAGTTAATTAGTTTCCTTTAATACCCATTGCTGGTACTTTTTATCGACCATTCAACAGATATTTTCTTATATGTACGTATATCATTGAAAATTTTTGATAAAAAAAAAAAAGAAAAAATATAAAAATATTAATAAAAGTGTATACTTACAGACATTTTCAATTCTACCGGCTTGTCACTGATAACCTCAAAACGAGCAACTCGAAACTGAGGCTTCAAGATATAAGATGGCACCACTCCTCGACCAATGAGTTTTATACTCCATTTCGTTTTCGTTTTCGAGCTAAATACTTCGAAATACTCTTGACTCTAATAAAAAATACATTCACTTGATCATTATCCAACAGCATAAAAATATAATTTAATTTCTATACAATTTCTATAAAATCAATTTTTCACATTCCATCGATATCTACAATCGATAGCTACAATATGAACTTAGTTTCAATCGAAGAGGAAAATTCAAAACACACATTTTCACTAACCTTTCAATTAATCTTTAAAATTACGAACTCTTCTTCGAATTTTTTATATTTATAATTTCGATTTTTTTTTTAAATATTTTTATCCTCAAATATTATCAACCTTTTGATGAAAAATCATCAACGAACAAAGAAACTTTTAAATCGTTAATTAAAGAAAAAATTTTTCCACAATCGTCTACAAGCGATAAAAGTTTCAAAAAAAACTTGAAATCAAAATCACGATGTCCTGCGGAACGAAAAAAGTTTCCTACAAAATTTGTCGTTGCGCGTGCAAATGGAATTGCAATTGTTTAATTCCACAGGAGAAAAAATCTTTTCCTGCTTTCGGTAGCAGCGCGAAACGAGATGTGAGAATAGGGTTGCATCCAAAAATGTACAAAGGTTCAACAATAGACTCACCAGCGGTAGGATTGTACAATCCAAAATTTCCTTTTAAATGCAAACGTCCAAGCATAAGGTATACGTATATTTCTAAATACCCTTTCAACAGGAGTAAAAACCTTTTACCACCGATCTGTATACAGAAAGATTGTTTCTTCTTCGTTTAAAATTTAGTTGGAAGAGGCAGATAGAAACGAAAGAATTCTCGTTGACGATGGGAGGAAGATACGAGGGAAAATTGAAGGAGCAAAGGGAACAGTTGAAAGTAGGTCGTGGTCCGGGAACCCACGAGATCCTTCAATGGCCCGACGACGTGCTGCAAAAACCTTGCAAGACAACGAAAAGAAACGTTGGATTTGGCGGAATTGTTCCCCTTTTCCAACCTTCTTGGCCATCCGTTACTCCAGGACCAGGCGAATGATTCAACAAATTATCTTCCTCCACTTGGCGTTCCTTCCATCAATTTTTAGTAACGCTTTTTTTATTCTCTGTTTCAGGATACTCAAAGTATTATCCTTATTATTACATCGACAAGAGGGAACGCGAGGGTGCATCCTGCGTTCCAACATTCGAGTACGATGGTTTGTACCCAAGATCCACGATCGAAGTTAAACCTTGGTCGTTGCCCTGCATCTTGTACGTAATAAACTCCAATTTTCTTCTTATTTTCTTTGTTCCGTCAAACAAAGATGAAGTCTGATTTTCTTTCTTATTCTTGCCGATAGATACAAGGTGAAAGATGCAAGGACGTTGGATGCTTTTTTAAAGAAAGTCGTTGGAAAGAGGGGCCCCTACGATTTGTTCACAGGTTGGCTAGGATGAATACCTACGTCGGATACTCTACATCTACGTTTCATTTCTTTTTTTTTCAGGGCCAAGAGACGACACCACGATCAAAAATTATTTCGCAAAATCGAAAAAATTCGACAACTGGCCCATATCGATCCCATGCGAAATGGACAAATTGAAGAAGAAATCGAATTATTACAAGGGACGTTGGAGCACTTGTCCAAGGTATTATTCTTCTTACATTGTCAACTGTTAATCCCTTCTTCCGACTTTTAATTCGAAATTTAATCCTCTCTTGCGAGACGATCGAAAAACGAAGTCTGATAAAGTTTTTTTCACAGATTTCTAAAGGCAACGGGCATAAGGATGATATTGAAAAACATAGCGTTGTGTTACAAGGATCCAAAGGACCCAGGACCCGGCCATTACGACCCAAAATCTCCGAGGAAGCCAAAGAACATGAAGAATTATCCGTTCAACATCAACACCGAATTCATCAGATCACCTCCGCCCACGGAGATTCTACCTGGACCAGGAAGATACACAATCGAGAAAAAGAGAATTATAGAGGGAAACGGATGGACTTACGTCTTCAAGAGCAAAGCTCCACGAACCAAATTTATTTACATCCCTTCGTACAGTTATTTCTAATTTTTTCCTCTTCAATTTTCCCAGTTTTCTTTTCTTTTTTTTTTTTTTTTTATTAAAATACGACTCGTTAAATAAAATAAATTGAATTTCGAGGGGTAGCTCACTTTGCAATCCTCGCTCGGTTGATAAGTAACCGGAAGTTTCAAGATAGAGCCGGTCTCGATCGTTCTTCCAGGAGGCACGAAAAATGGCCCAAATGGATTCAACACGCTCACTTCTATCATCACGCTTCTATTTAAAGGAAGAATTTCTTTCATGCTAAATATTCCTCTTTTTCTTCTTCTTCTTCTTCTTCTTTCTTTTTTTCTTAATTCTTATTTTATCTCGTCGCAAACACTTACCGAGTGGAAATATTTTTAACGAAGAGAAATTTTCTGGAAGACATGCCAATCGCTGTTGGCTCGAATTCTATTACACGATCCTCATTTAAAACCACGATTTCGGGTTTAATGATCGGACATATTAACTTTGCAAATAATCGTTCGTCGTGTTTCGCGCCGATTTTCGTCTCTATGTTGATCGTGCACGTTACGAAAATTGTGGAAACACAAGGTTCGAACGTTTCCAGTAAACTGATTTCACCAGCTGACATATCGACCTCAGGTTCTTCTACTTTCTTTTTTTCTTTTTTCGCTTTTGAAAAAATTACTTTTTTCTTTTCACTATACATACATACGTACATATATATACATTTACAATAACCAAATACCTTTCTTCAATTTTTCTTCTTTTTCAAACTTTACCTCCTCATGATTTTCATGAACCTCCTCCATGTTCATCTTTAATCTGAGACCTTCCTCGAAGATCATTTTCTTCGGTAATTTTGGTCTGAACATAAAGTTAATATTAATAATTTCATCGTTCTGCAAAACGCCAGACTGCGGTATAATGTCCATCCTGTTCGAGGAGCTGGTGAATTCGTAGCAACCCGTGAACTTTTTGCGTTGCTCCTTGATGATTCCGCAGGTGCAATAAGGATAAGAGGCCAAATTGAATCCTCTCAGATGAACGGACACCTTAAAAATTAAATTAACAAAAAAAAAANAAAANAAANAANAATAA